AAGAGATGCACAGGCTCCTTCATCACCACCCCCAATAATTATTTACACTGGTGATTTTATTAAATATAAAAGGTAGGATTTAAGTGGTCATAAGAGATGGGATGCAGAACAAATTAGGTTATTAAGCAAAATAGAACAGGGAAACTGAGCTTAATATATTAAAGAAACTATTTACATGTAATAGCTTACCTAAAATTTGTTCTAATAATCTTCACAGACTAGATCCTGGACCCCCAGTTTGTTTCCAGCAGTCATTTTTGGTAGAGTAGCTAGGGGGTTACTGTATTACCTCACTCCGTACCCTTAAATAGGATTTGTGTAAGGCAGGAGTCTTTTGTTTCAGTTTGTCCCTCCTCCCCCCAGCTTCTCATGGGAAAGTACAGAATTTAAGACTGATTCCATCATCAGATGACATGGTCACATGTCCCTGCAAGAACTGTCTCCATACTTCATGGGCTGACCCACATGTCCCAGGAAGGTTAAGCTCCATTTCTCTCTTACAAATGGGACATCACAGCCCTGTACTGTAATCAGTGGGAGTGACCCAAAGTAATGAATATGCAATTACAGATACATAGCTCAATATTTTTAATTTGATCCACAAAAATGATATATGCATACAAATAGGATAACCATATTCAGTAGATCACAACTTTACCAATCATCTCACATGAAGTATGTTGCATAAAACCTATTCCAGTTATGTCATTCATATTTATAAGAATATTTCCATAAAGAATATGGGATGACCCATCACACCTGGGTCTCAACATGGGACTCCAGCATCCACACTGAAACTCTATTATCGCGAAGACAAAAAAGGTCAGCCATTGGTATTGTGAATAATTTTGGCAGACTCCCTGAGCATGCGTCCAGCAGGACTGAGTGTACACTGCAAAGCTTGAAACCTGGATCCCCAGCTTCACGCGCCTCAGCCCCTCCACCCCATTGGACCTCAGACAGAGGCTCCATTCTCAAGGTTAGTATGACTTGTGTGTATGTAGAAAGAAGGGTTGGTTTGGGCCTGAGTTTGAACCTTGGTCTCACACTGTAGACATACTCTAAGAATGCAACACCAAATACTCGAAAGTTAAGAAATGCCAGTATTAAGGTTGTCTGTGTAATCCCAATTTAATCATTTTGAGAAAATGCATTATGATTAGGCTGGGAAGAATTCAATTTTTTTATAATTTTGTTTGAGAATATTAATATTTATTTTTAAACATTTTTCAATTATTTTCCAATTTACATTTTAACCATTGAGGGAAATTGGTGAAGGACATTTAAGACTATAATTACTTAGTGCAGTCGATGTGGAGATTCAAAAAGCCAAAACTTTATAACTATTAAAACATAAATTGTAAACATATTGCTAGTAAATATCTTTACGTCAAAGTGTAATAATTTGTCAAATTTTTATTATTATCAATGGAAATATTTTTGGATTGTTTTCTGTAAGTGCAGTGAAATCAACATTGACCAACATTCACTGATAAAGATCTTCAGAGGGGTAGCCGAGTTAGTCTGTAACAGGAAAAACTTAAAAAACAACAAATAGTCTAGTACAGGGTAGCCAACCCATTCCGGGCAAAGGCCAAGATATCAGTGGATCTAGCGCGAAGAGCCAGGGCAAAGTTGTCAAGCACAGGGAGCCAGGAGGAGAGGGCTGTTTTCAGGGGCGCAGGGATGGCTTTATGAGCCACGGTGGGGAAGGGAGGGCTTTGCAAGCCGCACCCTGGGAAGGGAAGAGCCACATGCGGTGGCTGGCTGGTCTAGTAGCACTTTAAAGACTAACAAAACATGTAGACAGTATCATGAGCTTTTAGGGGCACAACCCATTTCTTCAGATGACCAGCTCATCTGATGAAGTGGATTGTGCCCATGAAAGCTCATGAAACCATCTACATGTTTTATTAGTCTTTAAAGTGCTACTAGACAATTTGTTGTTTTTTAAGTTTTTACTGATAAAAGCATAATCCTTACAAGCCTAGTTATGATATCTTCTGTATTTATATGATCACATACTATTTTTTCCACAGCAGCCAGAGGCTGTAATTGCTGGGAAAGTCCTACCCAACCCTTGCTACTCTGGGTTGAAGCATGTTCAAGGCAAATAGAATCTGGATAATTCACCTGCCAAACTGCTACAAGTCTCTGTAGATAATGAACAAACTGAGATTTTTAACAGATTCATAACTTAGTACCAAATTTGGGTGATATTTCAGATTTGAGAATAGAAAAGGCACATCTCTGACATAAGGACAACCATTTCTTAGTGAAAAAGCTGAAAGCATTTTTAACAGGGGCAAAGCAAGGTGGGTTTCCCCTTTTCTTTCTAGCAAAAGGGCTGAATCAATTTTGCTGATTTTTTTAAAATTCAGCCTGAAGCATACATGTCAGTTGGAAAATTTCAGTCCCAATGCTTGAAGTGTGACAATGTTATAAGCAACCCACAGCAAAGTCTCATAGAGGGACATGTCAAGAACCCAATAACTTTTGGCAGTGCCACAATTTGGACCCTTCCTACTTTTCACAGTTCTACTCTCTATCACCTTTTGCTAGAAAGCTTCAGATTATAATTAATTTACAACTGTTGATGAATAGGGATAGTAATTTATGGATTAAAAATAAAGTGGTGAAAAAGGGCACTATCCATTTTTGGGAGGCAGGCAGGAAATGACCTTTCTTTATTTTTCATGTATGTTTTAAAGGAGGATAATTGTGAATTTGTTAAATAATTTTTCCAAAGAGCAAAAAAGAAAATACTTACAAAAAACACTCTCTTTTCAACATCTATCTTCGCTGAATGTCAGAAGATGATAGACTACTTTGGATTTAGTCATCTGTAACTGAGAGCTGAATTTGGCTCAGATTCATCACTTTTCAGTAGAAAATATGATGATTGGTACTTTTAACTGATAACTGCTGCATGGTATATGAAAACTAACTGATTTTTTAAAAGAAAACACAAAGTAATGTTTGCCTTAAGAGCCCAAAGGCATTTTCCATAACAGAAAAAGAATAATTTTAAATCAGTATCTTTCTGGAAAAATGAAAATGTTGATTTACTCCCAGTGTGTGTTAGTTACCTAAGCAGCTAATGCTTGCTAACAAGTGAATGCTTACTACCAAGGGTATTCCCACTAATGTGCATATGTTAGGTAGCAAGTATTTGCAGGCTCATAAGATAGCAAGCAAGCCTACTTTGTCAAAGATTTTCAGGTTCTCAAGAACTATACACTAAAATGCAGCATCAGATTTTTTTAAATGACAGAAAAACTGTTGAAGCCTAATTTATTATGTCTCATTTATTGAAAACACCTGTCCCCACAATAACTTGATCAAAAATGGGCAGTATCTTCATAAGGAAAGGACCTGGGAGGGGACATCTCAGAGAAGAAGTCAGAGACCTTTTCTAACTTTCTAAAGATGAGTTGCTCACAGACTGATGAATGAGAAACCCAGTTTCTGAATGCTTTTAATTACCAATGAGAAAGTGCTACCTAGGACAGGAAAAATAGTAAAATATAACCCATCACCCCAGAATTTCTTCTGGTACTTATTAACATTATGTCAGCTAATGTTCAGATTAATTGACACCATAGATCACCTGACATTTGACACAAATAGTAAACTGACAAGGCAAGAGTTTAATTTGGAAAAAAAAATTGCAGAGCAGTATGAGCTAGTTAAACCATATCAGAGATAATATTATAATTCAGTTTACTACTACATTCACTTTTAATTGGTTTTTATTTATGTGTAATTATTGGCCAAATTCTCTAGAATATCCTTTGTAAGTGAACTTGCATTTATGTGTAAGCTAAATGCAGCTGTGTTTAGAAGACATACTTTGGAAAGGTCAGTGTAACCATGAGAGTGAAGTCTGATTGAGCAGACATGAGTAGCTATCTTAGTCAGCTGGCAGATTTTTTTTTCATCAGAGTACTGCAGTTATTCTATCTCCAATTCCCTGCCAAAAAGCTTATGGAGGGAAAGTAGTTTTATCCCAGGGTACCACACAGGGTCACTTTACAGCTGAGTGGAAAATGTACAGGAAAAGGTTGATTTCAACAAATTTCCCATTTCAAAACATATATTTTCAAAATAAAAGTTTCATATTCTGGTTTTAAAACTAAATATTTTGATATCTTAGTTCTTTATATTTCAAAATAGGCAATGTTTTAAAAAGATTGGAACATATCAATTGACCAAATCTTGAAAAAAATCGTTCTGATTTAACAGTTTGTGAAACTTTTTTTCAAGATTTCACCCTTTGTCTGAATTCAGGATGGGAATAAAATTTGAAATCTCAAAAATTCTCACAGTTAAAAAAAGCCCTATCCAGATCTTTCTTTCTCCATGCCATTCTCCAGAGAAGGCAGCTGTGTGGTGGTTCTAATGGAGAGGACTCTGGGCAGTTCAGCCAAACCAGGGCTGTACTGCAGTAGGCTTTGGAGGAAGCATGGATAGGAGTTATGGGCCCTACAGGGTCATCCTTTTCAATAGAGGACTGTTGTGATAATTTTTCGCGGATGAAAATAAAGGCATGCTATCTGCAGCAAAATTTTTTTTAAAAGGTCCTATCTATGCTTCATGAATGGGCATCTTATGGGCATCTTCAATGTTGCAGACCTGGAGAGAGCTGTATGTAGCTGAAAGAGATTGTCTCTTTTACCAGCAGAAATTGTCCCAATAAAAACATTGTCTCACCTTTCTTGTCCTCTCATCTTATGGGTTATCATCAGTGGCAGTCCCATATAATAAATCTTACTTAATCTAAGAGTTCATTAGGTGTAACCAGGTTCACTCCAGTTTCTAAAGCACCACATTCTGGAACACTGACAATATGTGGAGGTGACAGGCAAATTAACAATCTTTTCCTGTAAATTAGCAGTGAATGGCATCTTTTAACCACTGCAGTTCTAATCCATCCTGCACCCTGAAGTCTTGCAGGGTGCACCCCAAGCTTATAAAGTGAAGTAAAAACTGTAACTTACCATCTCCAGTTTCAACACAGAGTTGCAAGCCTAAATTGTTCTGTGGATTAATCACCCAATGATTGCTGGTCACAGTGATATCAAACACAAGCCAACCCACATTAAAAGCTTGAGTTTTCCTTGTGTCCAGCAGGAACAGTTCTGCATCCCTGTTTTAAAAACAAACAGCATCAAGTTAGGACAATAGCGAAGTTGTTACTATATTTGTTTATCTGCACTTCTGAGTATGATATGTCAGAGCCCAGATGAGTAATGAGGCACAGCTTTCTGGTCTTCTTTTGCTGTGTCACAAGATACAGGTTGAACCTCTCTGGTCTGGCACCCTCAGGATCCGATTGGTCCCGAACAAGGGAATTTGCCAGACCAGGGGAGGTCAGGCATCCAGGATCTCCCGGGCCTTCCCTCCTGGCTACTGCTCCAGGAGAACCTGGAAGCCTGACATCCTCTGGCTCAAATGCCTGGCTCTGGTGTCCCCGTCCCCCTGCCCGACTCTGCTCCCTGCCGCCAGCCTCACGCAGCAGCAGCTGTTCCTGGGGTTCCTTGGCTCTTGTGCATCATGGCAACAACAGCTGCTCCTAGGGTTCCCGGACCTTGTTCCCTGTGTGGTGGCAGCTGCTTCCCAAGCTATCTGCCCCCAGGTCACTGGCCCCAGACCAGCTCTGCTCCTATTCACTCTGAATCTCTGGGGCCAGGGCTCTCTGGTCTAAAAACATCTGTGGTCTTGCCAGACCACGGATGTTGCCGGACCAGAGTGTCCTGGATGAGAGAGGTTCTACCTGTACTGGCATATCTTAGTTATAACCCTTGAAAGAGACTGCCTGTAACAGAATCCATGATGGCAGTGTTCCTTGAAATCTGAGCACTTAGACAGTCACCCAGCAGAGATCCAGGTGCCACCTAGCTGACTAGCAGAGTGCCCACAGCTGGCAGCATGTGTTTCTATTGGTGGTGCATTGCACCCATGTCTTGGTGCACATAACAAAATGTATTCCACACATTAATGGAAAAATAGAGGGCACATTGCTTGGTGGTTCCTTTTTCAGAGGGTGGAGGAAACTGGCTTGTGATCTACACCAGACAGTCATATCAAAGTATATGCCATTGCTGATGCTGCCTGTGCTACCATGGCTCCACTACTATTTTTAGCATGTTAGTTCAGATGGGAGCAAAAAGAAATATATTCGCACAAGCTGAGAATCACTCTGGATTGTGGTATAGACATACCCTAAGTGTTTGGTATGGATCATCTCTTTGTTGTGTATTTGTACAGGACATAGCACAATAAGGCCTGATCCTTGATAAATATTGTTGTAAAGCAACTGAAAAATAAACTGTGCTTAATCAAATTCTTGAACATACAATACCATTTATTTAATTTTGGGGGGTATTTTCTACATGTTCAAATATATTGATTTCTATTACCACACAGAATACAAAGTGTATAGAGCTCACTTTATTTTTTATTGCAAATATTTGCACTATAAAAAAACTAAAGAAATAACACTTTTCAATTCCCTCCCATTAAAAGTACTATAGTGCAATGTCTTTATTATGAAAGTGAAACTTACAAATGTAGAATTATTTCAGAAAAACTGCATTCAAATATAAAACACTGTAAAACATTGCAGCCTACAAGTCCACTAAGTCCAACTTCTTGTTCAGCCAGTTATTCACACAAGTTTGTGTGCATTTGTATGAGATAATGCTACCTTCTTCTTGTTTACATGTCACCTGAAAGTGAGAACAGGTTTTCACATGGTACTGTGGTAGCTGGGGTTGGAAGGTATTTATATGCCTGATGTGCTAAAGATTCGTAAGTCCCTTAATGCTTCAACCAGCTTTCCATAGGACACACATCCATGCTGATGATGCTTTCTGTCTGAGAATGAGCCAAAGTGGGTAGACCAACGTACGCTCATTTATCATCCAATGCTGTAATGGACAGAAGTGCTGACCAGTACTCGGTGACTAAGGGATTAAACTCAGATAGCTAGCAAAGGTATTGGCTGGAGAACCAATTGACATAAAAGGATGAAATTTGAATTGGATATAGATTCATGGCCAACTTTCTTTGTGTGGGAGAGAAAAAATAGGAGTTAAGAGACACAGAATGATTTAAACACAGGCAGGACTACCATGCCTCCAAGGAATTTGGGGCATGGAAGTGGACTGAATAAAGAAAAAATTGGAAGTAAATAGAAGAAAAGTGGATTTAGTCACACTCAGCGAATTCTTCTTCATTTTGGGGTTGTTTTGAACTGCTCTATCTGACTCTATGCCTTCGCTCCCCATTTAACATCTCACATTGTGCCCAGAGATTCTTCTCTATGTTTTAATTTGCTTTCCTTAGTTGCTCTATAACATCTAGCAACCAAATACGATTTATCAAGTTTAACTTTTGTTATGTAATAAAAAAATCACTTTTTTTAAGGTGATGATTTGATTCTTGTGTCCTGGAAGGTCTGTCTGTCTGTGTGTGTATCTGCATGCCTCAGACTGGGAGGTCAGCTACTAGAGACTGCAGTTTGTTTTTCTCTTTTATTTTTTCAAGGTCTTTTGGGACAAAAAAGCTTGGGGTACCTCTGGGGGTGGGTTCAAGTGTTCACCCCTGGTTTTCGGGATAAAACCACTTGATGGTTGCAACTTGTTTGTTTGTTTCTCAGATCCAGGGAATCTGTGACTCTGGGAAGTTTTTGTAACCAGTGCCTATAGAAACACGGTTTTTAAACTCTGTTGCAGGCCCTCATCTTCCGCACTTAAAGTGCCAGGGTGGGGAACAGCCCTGACAGATGCCAACAGCAGACAATTTATTTTCTTTTTTGGTGACTCAGTTTCTGTTGGTTCCATATCAGTGTCTTACTTTTTTAAAACATCTGAAAGTATGTGCCACACCTCATCCCTTTCTGGCTAGGTCTACACTGCATCCCTCTTGCAGAAGAGGAAATGCAAATGAAGCGATCATTAGCAGCATCTTGCACTTCATTTGCATATTCTCTTCTAATGCTTTTTGCAGAAGAGGTTTTTGCGCAAAAAAATGCAGAGTAGACAGGTCTGTTTTGCGCAAAAAAAACCCCTTTTGCGCAAAAACCCTTATTCCTCATTTTTTTGCGCAAAACGGACCCGTCTACTCTGCATTCTTTTGCACAAAAACCTCTTCTGCAAAAAGCATTAGAAGAGAATATGCAAATGAAGTGCAAGATGCTGCTAATGATCGCTTCATTTGCATTTCCTCTTCCTCAAGAGGGATGCAGTGTAGATGTAGCCTCCGATTTTGGAAGACACTTCAGATTTTTAAACCTTGGGTTGAGTGCTGTAGGTATCTTTCAACATGTGCTGGGTCATCATCTAAGACTGCTATCACATTAAATATATGACAGAATGCAAGTAAAACAGAGCAGAAGGTATACAATTCTCCCCCAAGGAGTTTGGTCACACATTTAATTAATACATTATTTTTTTTAATGAGAGTCATCAGAATAGAAGCATCTCCTCTGGACTGGTAGCCAAAGCATGAAGGGGCACTGAAATGTTTAGCATATCTGACATGTAAATATCTTGCGACATCAGCTACAACAGTGCCATGTGAACATCTGTTCTCACTTTCAAGTGACACTGAAACTAAGAAGTGGGTGGCATTATCTCTTGTAAATGTAAATAAACTTGTTTGTCTTAGCAGTTGGCTGAATAAGAAGTAGGACTGAGTGCACTTGTAGGTTTTAAAATTTTACACTGTTTTGATTTTGAGTGCAATTATGTAAGAAAAAAAATCTACATTCGTAAGTTGTGCTTTCATGATAAAGAGATTGTGCCATAGTACTTGTATGAGTTGAACTGAAAAATATTACTTTTGTTTATTTTACAGTGCATATATTTGTAATATTCATAATAATAATATGAATGAGTACTGTACATTTTGTATTCTATACTGTAACAAATTAATATTAATATATTTGAAAATGTTGAAAAACATTCAAAAATATTTAATACACTTCAACTGGTATTCTATTGTTTAACAGTGTGATTAAAACTGTGATTAATCATTTTTTTTAATGGTCATTGTTTTTTTACTTAATCATGTGCATTAACTGTGATTAATTGACAGTCCTATTGTTAACTACACACACCAATATTGTATTTTAAAGAAATACAAAGTGACAAGCTCATAAAATATGAAATGAACACAGTAAAAATTATGGTGGCCTTGGGTAAATGATACTTCAGCCAGCAGTCATACAGAATGACATCACAGTGACAGATTTTCAGTAACTGGTGTGTCTAAGCTATCATTTTAACATGAAGACACATACGCTCTCATTCTGCAAACTAACACATATAAGAAATTTTACACATATGAGTTTCAGAGATACTATGCACCTAAAGCTCTCATAAATGCCAATGGGAGCTGCAAGTGGTCAGCATCTCTAAAAGCAGGCCAACAGTATACACAAGTATAAGTTCATGTATGTGTCTGTATGATCAGGGCTAATAAAAGGTGGACTATGGGGAGGAAATTGGCTTTTTATTAAAATAAGATCAATCTTTTTGCCAGTGCTTCCTCTTTTCCCTCAAGTTATAGCGCTAGTGATGACATTCTTCTGTACTGTTCTTATCTTTTTGGATATAGTTGAAATGTATTAATGACCACACAAGAAGAAAATGTACTGCTCCCTCTGGGTATAACTAAGATTAAAACAATCCTACAATTCAAGAGACCCTAACCTGCTACTCAAGCACTGAACACATTAACAGTGTACCACAAGCTCATAAAAGGTATTCTCTGGGGTCTTAAATGCCTAATTTTTCTCTAACATGCAGTTTTATCAGAACTTTAAAAGCTAAATGTCTAGCTGTAAACCCTTTTAAGATAGTTATTTATATATATTGTTATATCACTTAGTAACAAATATGCATAAAGAATATTATTCCATAATTCTATTTTGGGCCAAAAACATGAGATTTTTTTTAAATCTACTGTGATTTAATATTTACTATTCTCTTCAACAGGGGTTGGGAACCTCAGCTTAACTGGATCCGGCCCCCAAGGCTCAGGGATCCCTTCCCACATTGGGGAACCCACAGTGGTGCTCTAGTCCCCTACCATCAACCCACAGGTCTGGAGCACACAACATTTACTAGCCTGGGCCCCCCT